CAGCTCTCATCAATACTTCATCAATTGGAAGAGCCTAATGAGACCGCGAAGATGACAAGATGCACAGAGAGCGGCTGTTATGTTTTGTTATGTGTAATAGAGAGAGCACTGGAACTGGTTCTTTTTGTTGCTCAAATACTAATATACTACTACTATCTACTATATACTGCATCAAACAGTTTATAGTCGTGTAAAGTGACTACAAGACAACAAAAGCAAGTTATATAATAAAGCCTTACATGCATTAGTGGCAATGATGTTCTGAAAAAGAATGAAGGTGGAATTTTGCAAAAAACAGCAATTAAACTTTCATTTTATTATGATTATTATTCAGAACGACTTGAATGATTCCCATGCCACTGTTAAAGACAACAAATATATATTTCATATACCAAACATAACCTAAACACTGAGGTAAAGCCAATGGTGGTCTTAGCCTGATAACCAGACTGAACTGACATTTTGTATCATTATGCTTCATTCATTCAGCATGATTGTCTTGATGTTGGCTGATTTCTTGTTGTTTTGCTCTAACCAGTCAGTAACAAATCACCAGTTAACTGGAGAACTTTTATGAGCTGAGTAGCTGTTTATTAATTTCTGTAAGTTGATGGACAACAACCTGTACAGCTGCGTGAATCTTATTCACGCCTGTCAACATTTCTGTGGCCTTCTTTTTTTTTCTCTCCCATGGATGTAGTTAGGCAGCTAACAAGCTACGCAGGGAATTATGTCAACAATCTTAATCTTGCCTACAAAGCCTCAATTTGCAGACTGTTTCTTCAAGTAGTGGGGACATCCATGAATGAGCGCAACACCAGAAACAAAACTGCACAACAAACCAGAGATGGAGGCAGTGATTCACAGGTCTTGGCCGTGGTTGTGTAAAAGCTGACAGTGTAACAGCTCCCACAGCCAGTAGTGGTATATAAATTACGTTAGCCATAATGGCTCGCTATATTGCTGACTAAAAGCAGGTCATATGTTCATATCTTCATTCATTACATGAAATTCTCCTTCAAAAATTTAGCAGAGACTGGTGAAGAGGTGAATAGCCAGGGTTAAATAGACAAAAAAAGAGCAATTTATTTCCTTCTAGTAATTATATAATGCTTGGTCAACTATCTTTATGGAGAAAATGAGTTTCTCAAGTGGTGCAGTCAATGAAAAAGTTATATATAGATACAGGTAGAGAGGTATCCAACTCCTATGTGACCGAATTAGCATTTTAATGTTAGTTGTTATGATGAAACCATTAGGTAATTCAAAACATAATTCATTCAACTGACTATGATTCATTGCTAGAGGCAAAATACATAATATGTAAAATAAATATTGAATATCTTAAATGAATTTTTTTCTGATTTTTATTAAGTTCATTTTCTTCTACATTTAGAGGTTCAACTGAGATCATATTTTAGACTTACTATCATATATGCTATTAAAGCACTTGGTCCCACAACTAAACATAATCCGATATGAGAAAATTAGTCTAAACAGATCATGATGAATAAGTGTAATAAAAAAAAAGAGTTTTGTTTAAGATTTTTACAAACTGCACTGCTGTACTGGGATCACACTGGAACAAATTGAGTTTTCTTTTTTGTGTCTCTTCCACAATGAAAATAAAGGCGTGAACTACATGAATATCTAGATGGACCTGTAACGAAAAAGCTATGGTTTATCAATTGCTGCGTCTCCCTCACAAATACGCATAAATACCCTGTCTGTACGATCCCCAACCAGTTTATAATATAGGTTCAACCAAATATGACAAATGGCCTAAGTTATTATCACTCAAAAGGTCAAAATCAATTTGTTTAACAACCTAGGGAATAAAATCCCTCACAGGTCCTATTGCCTAAATGTCTCTGATTTAGCTAAAGCCTCACCACCGTGAGTGTGTGTGTGTGTGTGTGTGTGTGTGTGCCTGCCTGCCTGCCTGCCTGCCCCTCATTTGCAGGATTTGAGCTAAGCTTTTTAGCCCTGCTATAGAGCGAGCACAGGGCTCTAAGGGCGGCAGTGTTGGTTGATGGTTTGGTAACTTGCTTGGTGGGTAAACCTCTTTCTGTCCAGTTGGTCATAAGAAGCAGCACAGCCCTCGGGCAAACTTTTTGAGGATTTTAGATTCTTATCTTGTTTGTACCAAAGCCAGTTTATACCAAAATATGTCCTTAGTAATCTTGTCTTGCTGCAACCTGCTTTTGAAAATAACTAAAAAGTCGGATGCAATAAATAGATATCCTATTGTGTGTTTTTCTTTATCCCTAATTTCTTCCTCTCCTCTTCTGACATACTGTCGTCAATAAAGCAACTTCCATTTCCAGGAAGAAAAAGGTGAGCTCCACTTCAGAAAGCTATTCACCTGGTATTTTTCACTGCCCATTGTTGAAGGGGGATTATGGATTCTGATTGAGGCCGGATTATTGTCAGATAAAACAGAACACTCAAAAAGCCACAGCGGGCACGGCAGCATGTATGTGGCACAGGTGGGGCATACCACTAATAACAACAAATGTGTGCGTATAAAGCCGCACTGACATACATACTGTATGCACACACACACACACACACAAAAAAAATCAAATCACAGATAGTATTTCTCAGAGTGCAGCACAAATACTGGGGCTAAAGCTCAGAAGTTAGCAGTAAATTAAATATGAGAGTGCAGATGATATGAGATTCTCCACGAGGAGAACAAAGCAGAACACATTCTGAACAGCACAAAACTAAGCCCTGAGGCACCGAGACAGGAGGACAAGAAGTCAAGGAAAACATCGTCGTGTGGGAACTGGCTTTCATCTTACTTAGTCAGATGAGTATAAACTGCTGCAAAGCAGTCAGGATACTTTTCCACAGGTTCCAGTGCAAGTTGGTGGATGAAAGAGTGGAAAAAAGGTTATCTGAAAATCTGAAATCACAGTCAGTGTAGGAATAGGACGACCCTGAAAAAACACAGCTAAGATCTTATAACATTTTGTATGTATACATGCCCAAATGCATAAAGACAGACATGGTCTGTGTGTGTGTGTGTGTGTGTGTGTGTGTGTGTGTGTGTGTGTGTGTGTGTGTGTGTGTTTATGACGTAAACCAAGAGCAGAGACCAGAATGTCAAGCAGGTTTACATTAGTCAGCAGATGCAGTGGGCCACATCATTAGTCACTCTGACACCCACTTCTGGCCCCTGCTTTATTGATGAGGCCAAGCTCAACAACTACCCCCCTCTTAATACACACACACAGACACACACACACACATACACAAACCCTCCTCTACCACAATCGTACTGTAAAAGCAACAGGAGACTGGTTTAGTGTCTCATGTCTCACTCCAGTGGGAAGAGACTGCTACTGTGTGAGAGTACAGGCCAGCATGGAGAGCAAGGCGAGCTGCTGCTCGTTCACAAAATGAATAGACAGCAGAGCAGAGAAAGCCTTCCTATTTTCCCACAATGCAGCGGCTATTCATCTGTCCACAGACCAAACAATCGATCCAGAATCAAACATCTGCTCAACACCAGATCTTCTGGGCAGGTTGTGAATGGCAGGGCACGGTGACAAGGTGCCAAGTGTGTCACAGCTATGAGCTCACAGCCATTTATGGCCTCCATGACTCTGACATTTAGCAGGATGCTGCAATTTGTCAGCCTCAGTCTGACTCACACATCCACAACAGGGGACGCACATAAAACACATTACCATTAGGCCTAATAGTGCTGCATCACAGAACACTGTGTGTGTGTGTGTGTGTGTGTGTGTGTGTGTGTGTGTGTGTGTGTGTGTGTTTGAAACCATTATTGTGAGGACATTTTGTTCGGCCGGTCCTCACAACTTCAGGGTTAAGACTTGTACCTTATAATGGTTGAGGTTGGGGGGGGGGGATGCATTATGTCAATAAGTGTCCTCACAACTCCAGAAAAGGCAAACATGTGTGTGTGTGTGTGAGTGTGTGTATGTACACTGTGTAAAATTAATGATGTGTTTGTGGGTCCCCTCACTACAATAAAATGACGACTGCTGGAAATATATGATGACATAAAAATGAGGAAAAACAGGTTGGGAGGCGTAACAAACAAATGAATGCATCAAAATACTGCACATGTTCCACTTGTAAAACTCTATCAAAGCCAATTCATGACTTTGTAAAAGGAAAGAACAAGAGCCCTGGGTGGCAGGTTAATTAGGCATTCACTGTGATGGAAACATGTATGCCTTTTAAAACTGGGTGTAAATAATAATAATTATCTCTGCCTGTTACTCAAACACAAATAACTGCACCAGTCGCTTGCCTCTCAAAATTGAGAGCATTTCAATATTCTGCATCAGAGCCTTTGTACCACGAGGCACTTAATTTTCAAGGCCAGCCACGAGTGTAACTCACAGAGTGAGTGAAGGAGGAGGAGGGCTCTCGAAATGCGAAGTCACTGTTTCAGTTCATTGTGAACTGAAAGAGCATGTCCACTGACCACAGGGCAAGTAAGAGGGCAAAGAAATTGTATCATTTCTGTTTCTGTCTTTTCTCTCCAATGTTTTTGTTTCACTAAGATGCTTTCAACTCTCTCCTTTTCTCTATCTCCACAATCTCCTATGTCTCTCTCTCTCTCTCTCTCTCTCTGCCCCTATTTTAGGTGATGTGTAAAGAGCAGACAATGGTGCAGCCATTACTGAGAGAGAGAGCATCAGGATGGCTATTCTTCCCCCAGAAGAATACCGCCATTTCTCAGACAAGCAGTCTCTTATCTTATGCGTAAAGTTTGTAAAGTATGTCTTGGAAAGGGTGTCACTGACTTCTGAAGCAGTTGTAGGTTTTTGGGCCACGGAGTCAGACACACAATTCAAGTCAAATCATAATCCAACATTTACTCATACATAACAGACTCAACTGCAAATACACATTTCTATGTCAACATGCACTTGCACACACACACACACACACACAGACACACCAGTGCGCACACAGCACTCGCAACCAGATAAAAGAGGTGTCTGCTCTGCTCTTACCCGAGCGTTGTCATAGTAACGATGGTGTACCAGAAGGAGGCTGGGATGCTGGTGAATTTGCTGGAGCTTGAACCCTTCTCTGCGTAGAACATAACGGTCGCAAAGATAATAATGGCCATAGTGAGGGAGAAGAGCAGGAAGCCCAGCTCGGAGGCACAGCTCTTCAGCGTGTAGCCCAGGATGCGCAGGCCCTGCGAGTGACGGGAGAACTTAAATATACGGAACACGCGGAAAACACGGAGTGTCACGAAAGCGCCACTCACGTCCTCGTTGTCAGTCATCACCAGGCCGATGTAGTAGGGCAAGATGGCCACTACATCAATGATGCTCATGACGGACCTCATGAAGCGGTAGCGGCTGGGCGCAGCAAACAAGCGCATCAGGTACTCCACGGTGAAGATCATAACGCAGGCCGTGTCCATGCAGAAAAAGGCCACGGTGTACCGCTCACCACACGGCACTTCCTTCTGGTTGGGCGCCGTGCCGCAGGGAACCGTCTCCACCACATTGGTGATGACAGAGACGGCAATGAAGAAGCCGGTGACGTAGTAGAAGACAAGGGCCATGGTGGAAGTGTGGGGGTTCTCGAAGGCCCTCCACATGGTCTCCCTGAAGGTCATGTTGGGTAGCTTGGCGTCCTTGTTGTCCTCCTGGTCATCCATCAGCCGCTCTGCGTTCTCCCTCTTCCTGTCCTTGTACTCTTCATAGCAGCAGTCACCAATGATCTCTGGGACAATGCCAAAGAAAGCCAGCTCCTCATCATAGGAGGAGATGCACTCATAGCGTGGGTAGTGGAGCTTGCCAGTGCGGTAGAAGTTAAGCACACTGCGGAACACGTCAGGGTCCCGGTCAAAGAAGTACTCTTTAGTCTCCTCGTTGTAGAAGAACTCCTTCTCTGAGCTGCCCAGCAAGGTGTCTGGATAGCGGTCCAGCGTGTTCCTCCAGGTCTGGAAGCGCCGTCCACTGACATTAAGAATGATTAGCTCATCCTGCCGCTTGCTCTTCTCAGTGGGCGCCACTGGCATGGGCAAATTGGCCACAGGCATCCAGCCGATAGCTGCTGCCCGGGCAAAGGGAAGCCATGCTGCTACTCCCGCCGCCATGCTGTGTCCGGCTTGGGGCGTAGGGGAGAACAAATCCAGCACCTTCACAACCAGCTTGACTTCAGCTCAGTCACCATCTACAGGGAAGAGAGGGAGGGAGCTTGTGAGGATAGGAAGCACAGGAGTGCTATCATGATCAGGACATGGGAAGAGATTGAGAGCAATCGATGAGAAAACAGGAAAAAAGGGGAAGAGAATTTGAGATAATTGAATGTTAAAGATGTGGGAGAGAAAAGATGAAGTTAAAGAAACGGATAGGAGGAGAAAAAGGTGAGCTAGAGAGAAAAGGTAATGGACGAACCACACAGCTCAGATTCTAACAAGGTAGTCTAGCTGAGACAGCAAAAAAGTATCTTTAATAGAAATGAAATTGAACATCACACTTAGACTGAGAAACCTTTCCAGAGCACGACATGAAATATATTTCTATTTGATATAGTAAGCTTTAATGTGATTACAGGGGCTGCCTACAATTTCCAATAAGCATCGTCTTCCCTATAATTACTTTAAGGCTATATTTCTCAGGTCCCCTCTATTGAGTTACAGTTAAGAAGCAGTCTTCTCAAGACCTCTGTTCACTGCATTTTACAGTTAAAAAACTGAAAGGCAGGCAAGCAAAGAAACTGCACCTCAAAACAGTCTATATTGGTAGATTTTTGCTAAGCTCTTTTCTATAAATAGGGAAATTTACAGGGTTATAATCTGCTTAAGCGAGAGATACAAGAGGAGATCCAAAACCTGTTGAGTTCCAACCAAACAACTGCAGATGCATCTGTATTTTACTCAAGATTAATGAAACTAGTTTATGGTTATTCAGATCAAATTCATGATTTCATCTAGTTACATGTAACCCGGTTCTAAACAAGGCTATTTGTTTTTTTTTTTTTTTTTTTAAACTACTCTAGATAGAAAAAATTGACTCCTAAGCCTCACACCGGAATCAGCAAAAGCGACACAATTAGCTGAACAGGTTGGTGACTAAATGCAGCAAAATACATCAGCAGCTTTATCTTCGCTATAGTCTCTTTCTACTCACCGATTCAAAATTCTCCATCTACAAAACGCGACCTTCTTCCGGAGCACTTTAGTTACAAGTCGTAGGTTTGGTTATTTCTGAAAGCGTGTCTGGAAGAAAGAAAAAAAAACAAAACAACAAAATGCCAGGGCAGAAGTTATTTTCACGAAGAGGAACAGCCACGTTAGACAAACGTTACTGTTGAGGTGAAAGCGGAAAAGTACCAGAGACGGACGTACCACAGCCGCTTGAATTCAGTTTCCATTATGCGAGGGGGGCAATTGATGAGAGGACTCCGCCGTGAAGACCGTCTTACCTTGGCTTTTTGGGATGAGTGGTGGGAAGAGACGGAGGAGGAGGAGGAGGAGGAGGAGGAGCGCTCTCTCTCTCTCTATCTCTCTCTCTCTCTCTCTCTCACTCTCTCTCTCTCTCTCTCTCTCTCTCTCTCTCTCTCTCTCCGCAGGGCGGATTGTGAACTAAAACTGCATTTATGGGAAACCTCGATCTGCACTCAAAAGAATGCGCAGAAAGTGGGTTAGTCACTGCAAAAAAAAAAAAAGAAAATAAAGAAAATGTTACCCCCCCCCTTTCGTCTCCGAGAAAAAATGAATAAACTACCCAATCATTCATATGGTTTGTGAGCTCTGCTGAATTTTTTAGGCATATCAAAGGCAACTTTTATCCACGGGATACATCCCAGCAGGGGCGTAGCTAAGGATTCATGAACCCCTTACCTTGGGCCCCTTCAACCTCTTTAAGGAAACCTAAAATAATCCCCCCCCCTTTTTTTTTTTAAATTTATTTATTTATTTATTTATTTATTTTTGGCCACTTGGAGGCAGCGGAAACAAGTTGTAAACAAGTGATATCTCATGTAAAATTGATGTGGCAAACTTGTTAGCAATTAGTTTGTTATTTACACTTCCTGCAGTTATGGAACATTATCATTCATTTGGACTTGTGTTTCTGGCCACATGGCAAATTCAAGTCCAATATCCCCTCCCGTTTAGCTCTGTTTTTAGTCTCATGAGGGAAGAAAAAAATATAGCCACTTTAAATACTCCTTCTGGGATTTTTATCAACCTCAATTATGTACTTCATCAGCCGTCTAGAGGTGTCCACAAGTCCAAAATGTTTGACATGATCCAAAATAGACTGGTGAAAAACTCACCAAAACCCAATGTGCATAAATCAATTTTCATAAAAGAGGGACCTAATCTGAACAGACTCGAGGATAATTAGATCTGATCCAAAATGCAGTAATCCTAGAGAGAGAACATTGGCATCAATTAACAAGCAGTCGCAGTTGTAAAGAGCAGCAATTTGATGATGAAAAAATGTTAAGTCATAGAAACTAATTCAAAAATAATTTGTTAATGTGTTTCAGAGACTAATAGAAATAGTTAAAAGATTTTTTTTCACTGCCTGTTTCAACAATAAAACATCCTGTACCCAACTGAGAGCTAGATAGATAAGATAATAATTTTCCAACCAATTGAATATCTGTGAAGCAAATTCCAAAATATATTGTCATTTGATAGTGAAAAATATTTTTCTCCCATTGTTATTTTGCGAGCAGAGCTGATACTGAGTGCTCTCAGGTCCATTTGGATCCACTCAGGTATTCGATATATTGGCACGCAAACCCAAGACTTGTGGCAGAAAACCAATATCCTATCCTACACGATTAGACTAAGTGGATTTGAACCCCGTTCTACTCAGATCCCATGTTGGGTTTTGGTTCCCCGGAACCGAGTGGACCCAAGACCTCTACTCACTGGACCCACTGGATCCCACATACATTCAGTAAAATACTATCTTTTATAGAAACTATATATCTTATAAAGCAGACGTAATGGAGACTGTGGGCTCCAGCAAACCTGACAATATTTATTCAACCAGACAGAAAGCTACAATAAAAAACGGTCTCAAATAATATTTTGCTGTATCTCTTCAGCTGGCAGAAATTGAGCTATAATATATCTCAGGGCTTGATATTTTCTGTTTGCATTCTTTCCTGGGGGCCTGGGTGTCTACAGAGTCTGGTAATCATCTCTACATGTAAGTTTACTCATGGAAGCAAAGCAAAACAAAAGGGCTGCAGTGGAAAAGCTCTCAGAGCCATCACTGTCTGCAATGAAGAGAAGCAGGTTTTGCACGTAAAGTAAATTTCTATGAAGGCTTACGCAGCCTACGCACAATCCTCTGCCTTTTACACCACAACATACTGTATAGTCTATGTAATTCCTTGCTGCGAGTGGATACAGTTTGACGTTTTTCAGCGCTTTCCTGAAGCATGTCAGTCAACCCTGTAACATGTGACACCGCCATCGATGCTAAAGCTCATAACTCCGAGGAGGATCTTTTGTGCGACTACATGGTCATTTATATTCAGACTCAGACGGTGTCAATGTCTGTGTCCCCACATTATTCAATGCTTTGCAGAACAATATGCAGCCCTAATTGAGTCAACAGGGATCCTATTCCTCAGATACATTCAGTCCACCAGAATATCAATAGGGTCAGTTCACACACACACTGCAACAAATGTGGTGATCTCGGATTGGTTAAGGGTATACAGTACATGTGCACTATATGAAAAATGAATACTTCGGCACACACCATATTATTCACCATAAAATCACTCAATGAGTTTTACAGACTTGTTTCAAAATGACAAATTGCTAGTGATTGTTATTTAGACATCCAGCTACACCAGTGGCATGCGGTATACACACACAAACATCTACACACATTCACACCTGCACACCCACACAAACACACTTGTTGATGCCTCTGTGCTCTTGTATAGCTCTCCTTAGAAGCACCTTTTGGTGACTCAATTAAGTCCCTGACCGTAAACTGGCCCCTTGATAAAATATGGAATGGACAAAATGACCTCACCTTGTAAAAAATGTTTCCACTGAAACCAGCTGTCACAAGAATAGAAGTTCAAGAAAACACACACACACACACACACACACACACACACACACACACAGACACACACACACACGATGGCTCAAACACATAAACACACAGATACACACACACTGGATGGAGACTGGCCTTTTCAACCGACGAGCCTGTGAGCAATTCCAATAATTCAAATGTCACTAAATAACAAGGTGGGTTGAATTTCATGGTCAACTGCGCTCTGTAATTATCTGAAGTCCTCTCTGTCCTACGGTGCTTGAAGTTACAGCCAGCAGCCAGTTAGCTTGGCTAATGTTGTATCTTCTTTGTATTATCTTTAAAAAAAAAAAAAAAAAAACTTTAATACTTGGCAAAAAATTCAAGAATTTTTATTAACATGTTAAACATATGTGAGTGCCAACAAGTCCTCCAACCTGACTGACCATTTAGGTTATTCGCCCCAAACCCTCTGATATAGGAGCATCTACGGTGGCCCTGAGAGCTCACTGCACTGCAACTTAAGAAAACACATGCAAACAGACAAAACACAAACAAATTCAGAAAACATCTTCATAAATTTGACAACACATGCTGCAAATAATTGCAACACAACTGAACTGTTTCCAGCGGTCACCTGGTAGAGCCGGTACCATGAAGGCGTAATCCTAACAGCAGCAGCCCGGGGTTGAGTCCAATCCGTGGCCCTTTGCTCTGTATCATCTTCTCTCTCTCTCCCTGACATTCCTGTCACTCTCTCGCTCTTGCTCTTGCTATCGGAATTAAGGCAAAAAAAAAAAAAAAAAAACAACTTAAAAAGAGGTGATGAATCCAGGTGCAACGCAACGCATTCAATGCTTTTAACTTCAAAAGTCACAACTGGGCATTGAGCAACAAGTCCCAGCCAGGTTCATCACTTTTTAGTGTTCCTGTGGAAACACTTCCATTGTGTTGTGATTATTTGCAGCGCATGTGTTTTCAAATTGATGAAGATGTTTTCTGAATTTGCAGCACGTTTCTGTATTTGCATATGATGTCAGTATTTACAGCGCATGTGTCGTCAAATTGATAAAGATGTTTGTCTGACTCTGTTTGTTTTTTTTGTCTATTTGCATGTGTTGAGCTCTCAGGG